AAACCTTGCCCCCGCCCCTGCTCCACTCCTGCCCGGCTCCCCGAAATCCGGAGCCCTCCGCCCCGCCCCATTATTGGCCACACCCACCAGCTGCACAGCCCCTGCTCAAGCCTGAACCCAGGCCACCCCAGCCCCGAGGCCTAATGCAATTGAGAACCCAAGGGGATGTGATGGCTATGTGTGTCCTTGACCCCTAAGACAGGGTCCTGGGCCGCCCCTGCTCCACTCCTGCCCGGCTCCCCGAAATCCGGAGCCCTCCGCCCCGCCCCATTATTGGCCACACCCACCAGCTGCACAGCCCCTGCTCAAGCCTGAACCCAGGCCACCCCAGCCCCGAGGCCTAATGCAATTGAGAACCCAAGGGGATGTGATGGCTATGTGTGTCCTTGACCCCTAAGACAGGGTCCTGGGAACTAGGGGTTGGGGGGCTTCTGCTAGCAAACCGACCTGAAGCCCTGTGCTCTCTCCTCTGAGGCCTCTGTGACCACAGGGCCACTGAGGAGAAGCCCTTGCTGAATTTAGGAAAGGACAAATCCAGAATATGTGGAGACTATTAGTAAGAGCGTCCTTAACCGTGCCCAGGGCCAAGAGGCTTACAGATGTTACCAGCTCCTACCACTGTGAGACCCAGGACAGCTCCTGGTCTCCCTGTGCCTCAGTTTCCCCCTTCTGTATTATGGGGCCTACCCGCTGGGGGTTAAGAAGACCGAAATAGCCCCTTAAGGTGGCAGCCAGCAGCTGTCAGGACTACTATTTTAGATAGGAACACAGAAGTAGGTGATAAAGAGCACAGCCAGAGACCCACGACAAGGCCACCTGTCCCAGCCACTCTCAGCCAAAGCCTAACCTCTTCCCCAGGGTGCAAACCCATGCTCTGAGCCTGGCTGAGGAACTGGGTCAGGATCTCTGCACAGAAAAAATCTATTTGAGGAATGCTTTGTGGCATCTATTGGAGGGGAGTGTGAGCTCTCCAAACCCCAGGCACTCCTTGGTCCGTGAGCCCTGGGAGGTCTTCAGACTGGAGCCCCCAGCCAGGAAGCAGGCCATGCAGGGACTGGGCTGACCAAGGTAGCTGCTTCATGGGCAGGTGTTTGGAAGGGCCTGCGCAGCTGAGGGTGGACAAAGAGTGCTAGCTCTGAACACAGAATTCATCCCATACTGAGCAACAGCTGTGAGCTTAGGGTCAAAATGACCTCTCTGAACACTACTTCTCAAATGAAGGTGATATCTGTGAATGGCATGTGGGCCTGAGTTCAAGTGCACAGGGCCGGAGAAGACATGGGGCACTTTAATGTCCTCGGAGACCTCCACCTAGCTGTGTTGCATGCAATGACTTCTAGTTGAAGATTTGTTGGCCACACTTGGAGAAGCCAAACCCCACTTTGCCAGTGTTCATTGCTAACTACCACCCTGTCCCTTTGGACTTGAGATGATACCCATTCCAGCTACTTCTTGCTGTTTTGTTTTGTCCACACCAGTTGTTTGCTGGAGGTTTGGGGCTGGAAAATGCGCTTCTTGAAGTTCTGGGATATACAACACCATTTAGCTTTCAGCTGGGGCTCTCTTATTATTCTTCAATCTCCCAAATGATCTGGCAGGACATGTTGGTGAGGGCTTTGCTCCATGACCCACAGACAAGGGATTTAGCCTGGGCCTATAGGAAATACAGTCAGTGACCCTCATGAGACCCATATTTCTGCTCTCCCATCACTATAGGCAGGAACTTTCCTGATCTTCCCCTGCCTCTACTGCCTGATCACTTCACTTACAAATTTATGAAGATCAGAAAACTTCCATTGATTATTCATCCAGCCCTGAATCTATCAGTACTGCGTTTCTTCCAAATTAAAATAATACCTCATTGCTTTTACAAAATTACTCCCTACTAAAAATATCCCCATCTGGCATTTCTGTATAAGCATTCAAATTGTTGTAAAGTTGATCCATGGTCTCATGGATGATAAACACTCAACTAATCTTCAACTATAGTCACCACTGAGGGAGTCACCCCAGAAATCCAGACCTCACAAGATAACTGCAGTCTGTGCTTGAGAACAGATGCATTTTCTTCCATGATAGACATGGAGGAGCCTGGTTTGTAATCAGTTCAAGTTCGTGCACAGAAGGTATAACCCTAATCTAAGAGTGGAAAGGAAAAGGCAAATGCCCCCACTCAGGTGTCCAGCTGATTCCTCCTTATGGCACTTCAGGCTGGATGTATCCAAGTAAGTTTGAGGATTGCCTCCTTCATATTGCTCACAGATACGTTCCAGCTCAAAGCAGTGTTGCATGCTTGAACTGCCACTAAAAGGGAGTGAATGAAGAGTAGACTGGAGAGAAGAGGTTTTCAGTTCTGACCAACAGTGGGAGCATAGAAAAGGAATTGTGGTTGCAGATGAAGCATCCATCCATCAGTTTGAAGGAACAGCCCAGCATCTCCCAAGTATGCAGGACTTTGCATGGGACCTGCAGCAGCATTTCCTTCTGCACAGCTGGCAAGGGTGTGGAGTGCCCGGGTAAAGAAATTTGAAGCTGAAGTCCTGACAGAAATAGCATCCCAAACCAAGTGTGTTGGTGGCCCCAGAGGATGGGCTCATTCACCCGCCATTTTAGCAGTGACTGTGAGCTCAGTGCTCTGCTCTGCAGGTCAGCTATGGTTCACTTGGGCCAGCTCACAGAAAACAGAAAAGGGGCCTGAGATTCCTAGAAGGCTCCAGAAAGAGGGGTTTGGAGTATGAAAGAGTCAGGAATTAGACAGGTCACCTACAAAACTGACTGTAAGGAAATTTCCTTTGAACTGACTGCTGATGTCCAAGACTAAAATCTCACTCCATTCCATTCCTTTGACTTTCATTGAATAAAATGTCAAATGGGCAAAAAGACAGATTGAGGAACTGTCCAGACTAAAGGAAGTTAAACACATGTAATGTGTGATCCAGGTGGGATTTGGGAGCCCAATGCTAAAGGACATTACTGGTTTTGGAAATTTTTTAATATAGACAGTATGTGGTATTTGGACAGTATATTTATACGAATAATATAAATGTTAAATTTCCTAAGTGTGACTATGGAATAGAAAGTCTGAACTCAGGAGCTCCACACTGAAATACTTGGTGTTAACAGACAGGATGTTTGAAAATTACTCTTAGTTTAGCAAAAATAGTAAATTTCTTCATCACATGTATTACATAATGCACACATACAGATGTAAGGGGAAAAACACAAAATGAATCAAGCAAGTCGATGAAGCTAGAAGAGTGTATGGAATTCAGTGTACTATTCCTGAAACTTCTAATAAATTTTCATCTGTTTTCCAAGAAAAACTTAAAAATAAAAGTTTGCTTATGCCTGGGCATGGTGACATATATACATATACATATATATACATACATATAGTCCCAGCTGCTTGGGAAGCTGAGACAGGAGGATTGCTAGAGCCCAGGAGCTCAAGCCTACCCTGGGCAACAGAGTGAGGTCCCATCTCAAAAAAAAAGTTTAGAACTTTAAAGTATCTCATTTTCTATTATTTTATGTTGATCACATGCATCACATAATTGGTATCACATATATCATGACAATTTTCATATTTCATTTATTGTAAGGTGTCATTGATTATAAAATGTCCTGTCTCAATTTCAGAATGGGAATGAAATAGAGCTCTGATGTTTTGTGACTCTAAGGAGAAGACCTGGACTTCCAGTCAGTTTCCATTCCAGACTGCTAACAATAGGTGATTAGCACATCTCTGTACAGAGAAGTAGAGACTCCCAGCAAATCTAGATGAAAGGTACTATGGAAGTAATAGATTGTAAGCAGCCAGATACAGGTGACCATCAGCTTTTCCAGCAATGGGGGAGGGATCTTATCACCACAGGAAGAATCTGGCCCCTATTTGATCCCTAATTCACGTAAGAGACAATTAAGTTGCAAACCATCACATCAAAATTAATGCTATAGTTTGAGTTTTATTTCTGCTGTATTTTTGTGTGTTTAATTTATAAATGTTTTTCTTTTATAGTGGCAAAGCTGATATCAACTTAGATGTTTGTGTTTGTGTCATTTAGATTGTTCCAACAGCAGTAACTAAAGTCAGCAAGGGTGCCACTGAATGTGCCTGGCCTCTGAAGCCCAGACTTCTGAAGCCCTGTGACAGTTTCCTCATCATTTGTGGACAATCACATGGGGTCTCTGTGCTCTGCCCCAAGCTAGGCATCAGCATGGGCCACTACAGAACAGTATGCACTCATGTATATGTGTGCGCACACACACACACACACACACACACACACACACACACACACACACACACACACACTCACTCTTACACATGAATCCTCTGTTCATGTGTCCTGGTGCCTGGCTTAGAGATCTGGACATGGCCTTTCTGTGAGCCTCTGGGTTCCATTTTTCCTACAGCTCAGCACAGTCTCCTCATTTTTATGCTCAGCTATTTCCTTTGGGCCTTTTCCTTGTCTTCCCTGGGCGTTGGAGCTTTGGAGGCTCAGAGCACCACCACACACTCACACACCCAAGTCTTTGTGCAAACTCTCTGACTTGTACCCACAGCACACTGCTTGCTTGGGGACAATGCTCTAAACTGGCTAAAAGTCAGCAGCTGAGCCCCAGATGTACTTATGTTTTCCCAACATTCATGTCCGTGGACACTTACAGGCACTCCCCATTCATGGTACACCCATGCTTCTAAGGACCCTCAACCAGGAAGCCTGCCTATTTATACGGGGCACC